TTGAGGGTCACATATATGCTCTTATAGCACCCTCTAGTGTCTCCAACTATAGTAGTAAATTCTTTTCCTTTTACTCAAGTAAATTTAGCCACACAATAATAGTGCTATATATTTTTTGAGTAATTTAACTATTTTGAAAAGGCAATCAATCTTTTTTTTTTTTTTTTGAGATACAGTCTCATTCTTTTGCCCTAGGAAGAATGCCATGGCATCATTGCTCACAGCACCCTGAAACTACTGGGCTCAAGTGATGGTCTTGCTCCAGCCTCCTGAATAGCTAGGACTACTGGCACCGGGCACAATCCCTGGCTAGTTATTATATTTTTAGTAGAGACAGGGTCTTACTCTTGCTCAGGTTGGTCTGGAACTCCTCAGCTCAAGCAGAGTGCTAAGTCTCCCAGAGTGCTAAGACTATAGGTATGAGCCACTGAGCCCCGTCCTGCCTCTGAATATATTTTTGTTTTGTTTTGTTTTTGAGACAGTCTCACTACGTCACCCTCAGTAGAGTGCTGTGGCATCACAGATCACAGCAACCTCAAACTCTTGGGCTTAAGCAATGCTCTTCTCAGTCTCCCAAGTACCTGGGACTATAGATGCCTGCCACAACACCTGGCTATTTTTTATTACAATTGTCATTGTTGTCTGGCAGGCCCGGACCAGATTTGAACTTAGTAGCTCCTGTGTATGTGGCTGGTACCCTAGCTGCTGAGCTATAGGCGCCGAGTCTGAATATTTTTGTATTATACAGAAATACTTTCCCTACTGTGACATTTTTAAATTTTCTTCTTTTGTCTAATAATTTTGTAATTCCAAGGATTAACATGGAATTTACTGACTTGGCACCTGTGGCTCAAGCGGCTAAGGTGTCAGCCACATACACCTGAGCTGGTGGGTTCGAATCCAGCCTGGGCCCGCCAAACAACAATGACAGCTGCAACAACAACAACAAAAATAGCCAGGTGTTGTGGTGGTCGCCTGTAGTCCCAGCTACTTGAGAGGCAGAGGCAGGAGAATCGCTTGAGCCCAGGAGTTGGAGTTTGCTGTGAGCTGTGATGCTGTGACACTACCCAGGGCAAGAACTTGAGGCTCTGTCTCAAAAAAAAAAAAAAAAAAAAAAAAAAAAACCATGGCATTTACTTTGGTGTAATAGATAGCAATCCAACTCTGATTCTCCTCCCCAACAATGGTCATTGTTGCCTGAGAACATTTACTGAATAATTAACTTTTCCTATTAATTGGAAATGTTACCTATTTCATAATCATATTGGCAAATACATACTGAGTCTATTGTGGGGCTCTCAACTCAGTTCCGTGGCCTGCCTACTCATGTACCAACTGCAAAATGTTTTATTTAGTCATATAATATGTCTTAATATCTGATGACTAGTTTTCCTTTAATATATTACTTCTTTTTCCAAAAATTTCTGACTATTCTTGCATGTTAATTTATCTCTAGAAATCTCTATAATCACGGTTTGCCAAAATAATCCATGTGTTAATATTTTTATTAGAATAGAATAAAATTTGGCTTGGAGCCTGTAGCCCATATACAGCAGGGCTGGCGGCTTCAAACTTGGCCCCTGCCTGCCAAACAACAAGAACTACAACAAAAAAATAGCTGGGGGTTGTGGTGGGCACCTGTAATCCCAGCTACTTGGGAGGCTGAGGCAAGAGAATCACTTAAGCCCAAAGTTGGAGGCTGCCGTAAGTTGTGACACCACAGCACTCTACCAAGGACGACAGCTTGAGACTCTGTCTCAAAATAAAAAAAAATTGTATTCTACATGCATTACTGATTAAAACTGGAAAATAGATGGGTAATTTTCTAACATAATAAAAGATACACAAGTTCTTTATTGATACATGTGGGAAAGCGGCCCAAGATCCCCCAATAACAAAATCCAGGGATGCTCAAGTTCCTTATATAAAATGATGTAGTATTTGCATATAACCTGTGCACATCCTCCCATGTACACTAAATCCACCCACCTCAGCATCCCAAAGTATGAGGATTACAGGCATGAGCCACCGCACCCAGCCTTTCTTTTTCTTTTTTTTTTTTCCTTTTCTATCACCCAAAATAGAGTACAGTGACACAATCACAACTCACTGTAACCTCAAACTCCTAGGCTCAAGCAATCCTCTTGCCACAATGTCCTAAGTAGCTAGGAATTCAGACACATACCACCTCACCTGTGGCTCAGTGAGTAGGGCGCTGGCCCCATATACCGAGGGTGGTGGGTTCAAACCTGGCTGCAGCCAAACTGCAACAAAAAAATAGCCGGGCATTGTAGTGGGGAACTGTAGTCCCAGCTACTCAGGAAGCTGAGGCAAGAGAATTGCCTAAGCCCAAGAGCTAGAGGTTGCTGTGAGCTATGACGCCACAGCACTCTACCAAGGGCAATAAAGTGAGACTCTGTCTCTAAAAAAAAAACACTTCACCCAGCTAATTGTTCTTTTTTAAAAATAGATTAGGAAGGGAGACGTTTCCCACTATGTTGCTCAGGCTGAACCAGAATTCCTGGCCTCAAGTGATTTTCCCACCTCAGCCTCCCAAAGTACTGGGATTATAGGTTTGAGTGACAATATCTGGCCTTCTTTTTTTTATCTTCTCCTTCCCCCCTCCCCAATCATTTGAAAATGTAAAAACTGGGCCAGGTGTGGTGGCTCACGCCTGTAATCCTAGCACTCTGGGTGGCCCAGGCAGATGGATTTTGGCATTGTGGCAGGCAGCTGCAGTCCAGCTACTCAGCAGGCTGAGACAAGAGGATCAGATCACTTAAGGCCAAGAGTTTGAGATTGCTGTGAGCTACAATGTCATCGTACTCTACAGAGGGCAACAAAGTGAGACTATGTCTCAAAAAATGAATGTGAAAACTGCAAAACTGTTCTTAGTTCATGAGCTGTACAAGTATAGGTCATGGGTCAGATTTGGCCAGTGGAAAACAGTTTGCCAACTCCTAGTCTATAGCTTTCTTATATTATTCTGGCTGCATTAAAATAACCAATGAAATATTAAATTTACTCATTCTTTGACAGAAATGTTTCTTGGAAACACAACTTAATATTGTAAAAAGGTGTTCAAGGGTATGGATTAGTCCAAACTGTAGACCTTGCAAAAACATTTATCGCCAAGTCTGCCCCACAAGTTTCTGGAACTATGAAGAGAGGGTATCTCTGTGTCTACCTTCCATGAGAACTAAGGCAGAAAGGAAGTCCTAAGGACACCTACCTCTGTACCTCCAAGCCGATCTGCAGAGCCCTCTCTGTAAGTGTTTAAGTATCCATCCACCAGGGTGGTTAGGTCAGACATCATTTCATCCAGAAGTACCAAGCGAAGGGGGAGCAGATAGGTAGCTTCCAGGGCCAAAATTTTCAGCAAAGAGGGTGAAAGAGGTCGTGTGAACCACAGTTCTGGATTTTCCTAGAGACAAGAAAGTAATTTTCTCTGAATATTAAAGAAAAGAATGGTTCAAATGTTTCTTAATTTAAAATACAGACATCTTCTATTATTAGCTTGTGTTTTCATACTGCTGATAGCTTTGTGAATGCATACACGCAACCCTACGTTAACAGTGTGTATGGGCTCGGCGCCTGTGGCTCAAGCAGCTAAGGTGCCAGCCACAAACTCCAGAGCTGGCAGGTCTGCATCCATTCCAGGCCTACCAAATAACAGTGACAGCTACAACCAAAAAATGGCTGGGCGTTGTGGCAGTTGCCTGTAGTCCCAGCTACTTGGGAGGTGGAGGCAGGAAAATCGTTTGAGCCCAGGAGTTGGGGGTAGCTGTGAGCTGTGATGCCACAGCACTCTACCCAGGGCGACAAAAAACAAAACAAAAACAAAAAACCAAAAAAAAAACAAAACAAACTTAGTGTGTATGTAACAGCAAAAGAGAAGGGGAAGAGGAGAGGAAAGCCAGTCATTCAGAATTTCTCATTCAAAGCTGGGGGCAATAGCCTTGATTATATGAACAAAAATGTAGTCAATACAGTCATGACCTAAGTTTGCGTGCAACGGTATAAAGGGCTAATATTTTTTTGTAGGAATAAATAGGATGATTTTGGTTCCACTGCCTTAATCCAAATTCCCATAAAAATTCCCCCCTGGTCTCAATCCAGGCATTGTGGTGGGTGCCTGTAGTCCCAGCTACTCAGGAGGCTGAGGCAAGAGAATTGCTTAAGCCCAAGAATTTGAGGTTGCTATGAGCTGTGATGCCATGGCAGTCTACTGAGGGTGACAGCTTGAGACTCTGTCTCAAAAATAATAATAATACTAATAATTTATTCCAGAGTACCTTTTTTTCTTTTTTTCTTTCCTTTTCCTTTCTGGCTTTTTTTTTGAGACAGTGGTGTCACCATAGCTCATAGCAACTTCAAACTCTTGGGTTCAAGGGATCCTCCTGCTTCAGGCTCCCTAGTGGCTGGTATGCAGCACCATATCCAGGTAATATTTCTATTTTTTTTGTAGAGACAGGATCTCATTATGTTGCTCAAGTTTGTCTTGAACTCCTGGCCTCTAGAGACCCTCCTGCCTTGGCCTCCCAAAGTGCTAGGATTATAGGTGTGATCCATTTTACTCTTCTTTTTTTTTGAGACAGAGCCTCAAGCTGTCCCCCTGGGTAGAGTGCCATGGCATCACAGCTCACAGCAACCTCCAACTCCTGGGCTCAAGCG